TAACTTCTTCCAGGGGCGGTAGAAGATGGTGGTGGGTCTGGTGGAGGTGGGGAGGGGGGTGGAGGTGGTGAAGGAGATGAAGTGGTGGTCGGAGATGGCCTTATCGGTGATGGTGACATCTGAGACACTGAGACACTCAAAACTCTCGGAAAGTATAAATATAGAAAAACAGTTTGGAAGACATCTGGAGCTCAAGCTTCCCTTTCTGTTGGTGAATGGAAAACCATTTGCAAAGCAACACACAGAATCTCAATCTGCAATAAGTTTAAAAGGCAAATGAAAGCTCAACCAAAGGACCATATTATATATTAGCTTGGCTGCACACGCTGAACTCCAAAATAGCAGTGGAGTAGCGAGGAAGGCTGCTATGGCAGAGCACAATTCATATCAGAAATTTTCCATAGCCTAACACGTGTTGCATCCAAACACAATTTGTTCTTGTCGTCAGATGCTGTTCCTTAGGAAAACAGTTTTTCTGGACTTAACACTGAGCATACTGAATTAATGAATGAATTATCTTCAAGCCAATGTATGGTTTTTACTATAATCTGGATTGTTCAGTAAAATTAAATCCCGACATCATTGTGTTCAATATCTGCGTACAACAATAATAATCCTTGCATTTGATACAGAGCCTTATCACGTCTTCGACACATCTCAAAGCGCCTCACAGGATATACTGCATTTTGTGGGCAAAACACAGCAGTCAATTACTCACAGCAGTGTCCCGCACAGTTGTGGATTGAGTGACTAATTATTACAATTTTTTTTGACAGAATTATTACCCCAGGAAAAACAATTGCTAATCGACTAACAACCGGGTTCCTACTTAATGTTAGGTAAACAGAGGCGCGTGGAGTAAGGAAATTTGCCTAACCTTTCGTCCTGCCAGGAATCAAACCCAGGTCCTCTGCTTGCAAGGCGAGTGCTCTAACCACTAATCTGCAGGACTCCACATTGAGGCTTGGAATGTGTCGCAGCCAAATTAAGACAGATACTGAATGTGCTACAAAATGGCAAAATTGTCTGAAATGCACCTTCATCATTAATAAAATTAATATTAAGGAAAAGTAAAGAAACTGTTCAAACAGCAAATCCTTTAAACCTAGGAAGGATTAACAATGCTACTTCTGTTCACACCCTGCAATTTGAGTGTAGATAGCTGTTCATTGGTGTTGGCTCCAAAGAAAAACAAAATATATAAGATGTTACTAGAATGAACACTTTGTGTGTGCTCCAAGCATCGGGGTGAGAAGACTTAGACAAAGCCATGGAAAACTTTATGATCCATATGAGCACAATACTTGATGCAATGGTTATGAAAATAAATGCCAGGATTATTCAATAGGGCCCATTTGTATACTTCTCTTGTGGGACACAAACAAAATTCAACCATCCTTCACTGTCCGCTCTGACATCTTTACCAGGAAGAAAATAGTAACCTCACCATGAAGGGTGGAAAAATAGCTGCATTTCCCAAACACTATACAGAACACTGTGTAAACATATGATGGTTATTAAAAAAAAAGCTGAAATAATTGGGACATAAACCACAAGCTTAACCATCACCATTTGTGACATCATCTCAACCAGTAAATGGGTTACAACCTTATAACATGTGCCATACTGTCATTCCTGGAAATAAAATACAAGTACACAGAATCACGTTACAATAAAAATATTACAAGTCTTTCACTTGGAATGTTTTTTTTAAAAAAAACAAATGTTTTTGCATTATATGCCCTACAGTTCAATCTTTGCTTCTAAACACAAGTTCCAAGAGTATATATTTAACCCTTTCCACGATGGAATCAGACCCGTAATAACCACTATTATTCCTATATGTGAGAGAATTGTGTTCATTAAGAGTATAAAGTACAGACAGATTTTATAGGGGTTAAAAAAAGACTGGAAATCCTCAATTAGGCTGAATTCTACTTCACGCCCACTGCTTTGTTCTACAAAACCTAATTCTATCAAGTCTAACAATTACGTGAAGTCCTGTAGCTCAGTGGTTAGAGCACTCGCTTTGCAAGTGAGAGACCTGAGTTCAATTCCAGGCAGAAACCTTGGGCAAGTTTCCTTACTCCACACAGAGCCTAATAATAATCCCTCCAAAACCAAAAACAATAATAAATTGGTATTTTTCAATCCACGACTGTTTGTGGGACATTGCTGTACGCAATTGGCTGCTGCGTTCGCCCACAAATGTACAGTCAATTCACTTTACAGTGTGTTCTGTGCAGCGCTTTGGGACGTCCTCCCGACATGAAAAGCGCTATAGCAAATGCAAGGATTATTATTATTATTACTTTACAGAGATTCGTCAGATTGTCAGCCCTGTAATAATCAGAGAAGCATACTACTTAAGCTTAACATTGATATATTACAACAAAAACACAGAAGTTGCTATCACTAAACTGAAAAACTGTATTAATTCAAAACATCTGCATCCATCTTGGATACAACAGTGTAGAATTAGGTTAACCATCCTTTGGTACAATCTAGCAAACAGTCATCAAGTCAAACTTGCCTATTGGTACCTGGGTATAATTAACCCAAGCAACCCAGTGTTCCCATAAGCCGCCAGGGTTACATTTGTCATCCATAATGTGGTAATGGTCACAGAAGATGGGGAGCGGATTTACTCTATCTTGGGGAGATGAAACGCAGATTGGGCGACTGATTTGCCGAACACCTCCATTCTGTCCGCAAGCACAACCCTGAGCTTCCAGTTTCTTGTCACTTCAACTCTCCCTCCCACTCTGACCTCTCCATCCATGGCCTCCTACACTGTTCCAACGAGCCACAGCACAAGCTCGAGGAACAGCACCTCATTTATCTGCTGTGACCATTCCCACATCATCTGGGTCCCAAACATACCTTTTCTCTCTCTTGTCTGGCTGTTTTGTTGCAATTCCCCCTCCCATCTTTGTTTTGCATTATTAACATCTCTTTAGCCCATCATCCCCTATCCTCTACCCCATTTTCTCCTTTGCTTCCTTATCCTCCTCCCACCTCTCCCTTAAAAGCCTCTCCCTCCCAACATGCCCCAGTTCTGACTCAGGGTCATGGACCTGAAACGTTGACTCACTTTCCTTTCTCCATAGATGCTGCCTGACCTGCTGAGTGTTCCCAGCGACTACCGTTTTCCTCAACTAAAGGAGATAGTTTTTCCCTATTTACCTTGTTGTACCCCTTCAGAATCACAAGCATCTATAACACCTCAATCTACCCAGTAGAAATTTGCCACATGCTCCCCTCAAATGCCTAATCTATTCAGATTCATTTGCATTTTCTCAACCCATATCAACTCATTTGCAAGATTGGCATCAGCAAATTTAGATTTAGCTTCGTTTCTGTCTCCCCTTCAAAACCATTTATGTATAGAACAAAAGCAGGATCACTGAGCCATCCCTCTCGTTACCTTTCATGACAATGTAGCTCCATATAAAACTACCCATTGTCACCTGCATTTCACTTCTCCCCCCTCAATTGTGTGCTTTCAAACCTTGAGAACCCATCTCCCATGTGGCATGCAAACACACTGCAGCCCACAAATTCTACATCTACCCAACAGTTGGCAGAGTTGCAAGCCATAGATGAACACTACTATTCTGCTAACAGAAGTGCATGGCACACTTATAATAACCTCTGCATTTGATATACCAAGTTACGTCATTGAGATGTCTTTAAGATGTCTGGAATGCATTGCCTGGAAGGTTGGTGGAAGCCAATTCGATAACAGCTTTTAAGAGAGTAATTATTATAATAATCCCTCCAAAACAAAAAAAATAAATTAATCATTTTCAATCCATGACTGTTTGTGGGACACTGCTGTGCGCAATTGGCTGCCACGTTTCACCCACAAATATACGGTCAATTCATTTTACAGCATATTCTGTGAAGCGCTTTAAGATGTCTAGAAGACGTGAAAAGCGCTATATCAAATGCAAGGATTATTATTATTATTTGGGAGAATAAGTTTGCAGGGCTATGGGGAGAGAGTGGGGGATCAGGATTGATTTGGGTAGCTCTTTTCAAAGAGCCGGCACGGACGTAATGGGCCAAATGGCCTCCTTCTGTACTGTATAATCCTATGATTCTAAGTACTTCAGGATTTAGTGCAGTGCCTGTAAATTTGCAGTAGCCAATTTGTGCTCAGCAATTACCCACAAAAAGGCATTATGTGAATGACCAATTCTTATCTGGAGGATTGTTGGCCAGGACGCCAGACCAAACTCCCTTTACTTTTTGAATAGTTCCATTGAATTTTTAAAATACAGCATTGCACTAGAGTGTCAGCCTAAATAGTGTTCAAAATCGGTCTCATGGGACTCAAACCCACAATCTTTTGACTCGGAGCCGAGAAATATGACCAGAAAAAAAATCTTCAGAGGTCATAGGATAACTTGTTTTGAGAATCAGAATTATAGTTATGCAGTGGTGATCTTCTGTCGGTGGATCTGCAGTAGTGTAGCAAGAAACAGCTTTACTTTGTATCTGACTCGTGCAATATGAATGGGGGAGGGATTTGTGTGTAATGCAAACTGGGTCTTATAAGTCTTATAATCACATTAGGATCACAAATACCATGCAAGTGAAATAACTTTACATTAGTATTCACAAATGTATTAATGTTAATTTGCTTAAAGTTAATGTTCATTGGCACACTACTTATTGAAATACTATGCCACTGAATTAACCAGTTTACCAAATTGTCTGGGCTTCCAAGTTTGCCATGTGTCTATAATACAATTATACTGTATATCATCCATTTCTGTGCTGAATTAATACAGTTTGGTGAAGAACAATGATGGAATTGATAAACTGTCAGTTATTTTACTCATTCACCTTCTCAGAACAGCATTTCCAAAACTGAATAAAGACCCCGCGTACGGTCTTTGTGTGGCATTGTTGGGATATTTCTCCTCATCTAAATTTCTTGTTCGACTACAAACCAATGCACTGAATAGTGAAAGTTTACTTCCACAACTCACGCTTTATGTTGGAATTCTCTGCAGAAGTGTGGCCAGCCTCTGGTTCATTCACTTCATTTTTTCTTTGTGAAGGTGGCTTCCATACATCATTGCTCCCACTTGCATCTGAGGCATCCTCCTCATCCTCCTGGCGAGCATTTTCTTCCCCAGCCCAGTCTTCATCATCTTCAAGTTGTTCATTTTTCTCATCATCCCCAGGGTATTGCCCATCTGAGTTATTGCTTTCTGAAAAGCTACCTTCCGTTTGCCTTTGTACAAACCACTCCCTGATGCTTTCATAACTCATGCAAGATCTCGAAACAAGGTCATCAAGATCCTCTTCATTTAAATATTTGTGTTTCAAACAGTAATCTTCAAGAACAGTTTTCCCTGAACTAGCACGCCCTGCAGACACTTTGCTAGTTGACACTGTTGCACTCCAGTTGCTTGACCTTCCACCTCCTCTGGACCTGCCTCGCCCTCGTCCTCTTGGTCTACCTCGTGATCTCCCTCTACCTTTACTCTTTTTGGATGAAGTTGAAGTTTGTCCATTTTGACTCTCCACATTACCACTTTGATAGTAATAGTACCATTTCAAATTACCGTTTTTCCAGGCATATCTAGTATCTCCAAACCAACTTACTATGTCAGTTCTGGCCAGTCCACTTTCAGCTGCTAATCGGTCATATACCTCTGGGGCTGGCCATTGTGTACGGACAAATGCACTTTTAAGGATATGCAGCTGCTCTGGAGTCTTCTTATAAAGCCTATTAGTTGCAGCTGCCATTACTCTCGGTATTGCTAGCCCACTCGCCAAAGATGTAGTATGCATTTGCCCATAAGGTGACTTTGTACGTGTCCCATGTCCTTCTGAATCTTTGTATTTGACATTGTTTTTTCCATTTTCCTCAGCTTTAGCTTCTAATTCTTTATTCTTTCTCCTCTCACAAAACCAGACATCAATCTCCCTTCTGGTAAGTTTCGAGTCGACCCTTAGCCGGTTAACCTCCTCGTCACTTGGAAAGGGACTGAAGAGAAAGCTTTCTTCAAGGAGCTGAAGCTGTTCCACAGTTTTCTCTTTGAACTTTTGTGGAGTAAAATCTGGGAATGCGTTCCACCCATGTTTGCGCTGTTGACTTACTGCAGGGAATTCAGGTGTAGTTTCATCACCTGAGTCTACAATTATAGTACTGCTGACTTCAGCAACATTGAAGTTTTGACTACATCTAGAATTCCTGTGGTTGTATCTTGTGTCACTGAACCACTTCTTAATGTCACCTCTTGACAGGCCCGTTTCCTGCATAATTCTAGCAATCTCAGAGTCATTTGGAAATGCATTTCTAGTGAAGCTTGCTTTTAATTCGCTCAACTGTTCTTTTGTCTTTTTGAGACGAACACCATATGGATCAGCGAGAGATGGAACAGAATTTCCTTGTGAAGTAAGCTGTGAAATCTGGACATTATTGGACCGCTTTGCCTCTGGACCTGTATCACTCTCCTGAATTTTGCGTTTTTGCCACTGGGTTTGGTTCGAAATACCTGCTATTGTCACAGTAACAGAAGAATTTTTAGCTGCTGCATTTGAATTGGCTACCTGCGTTAAGACAATACCTGACTGGCCAACTATCTGACAGGGCTGAAGAATCTGCTGTAATCCATTAGCAGCAGTTGAAATCTGTGCTGGTATTACAGTTATTGTTTGTGGTACAGTGTGCACGGTACCATTAAATAGTTTCTTTTTGGCATCTTCCACCTCCTCTGGAGTCCAGCTGATGCCATGCTTGAGGCGCTGGGCAGTGAACCAGATCTTAATCTGTTCCTCTGCATATTTTGTCTGAGTTTTTAGTGTTGTAACTTCTGATTGTGTGGGATAAGGGAATTTATTGAACGAATTGACTAGGTGAGTATTTGAATCCATATTAGTGTTGTAAGTAGGAATGCTGTTTACAGGAATCATGACTTTTGGAACAAAATTAGAATTCGATGATTGCATAAATGGTACGACTTGTGTAATTCCTGCTGGCAGCATTGATACTGAATCAATTATTGTCCCATTTGCTTCCTGGGTAATGCAGATCCCACCGTTATTAGATTCTATGAATGAATTACAGGCCATCAAATCTTCGTCAATTTCTTCCCCCGCAGCATATTCATCTACCAAACTGGGAGATACAGAGATTCTTTTGGTCTCGGTTCGACTCTTCATCATCTTCATAATTGGGGTCTTACTTATAGAGATTCCTGTTGGAGGGGCATCAGAGTTTTCTGCAAATTCTTCATTTTGAGAGACACCATCACCATAAGATTCCTCAACAGTCTGCTCAAAGATGGTTTGATTGTTGTGTTTTACCATTTTGAGCTTAAAATTTAGTTCACCTGAATGACATCTGGTATTATGGTCAGTAAGAGCATCATATCTTTTGGTTGTAAAGTTACATTCCACACAGAAGTACGATGGATTGAGAATAACATTTGGATGCTTTGAGTCAACATGCACTGTAAACTCATTTAAGTCCTGGGTTTCAAAAGTACAGTATTTACATTCATAGCCTCCCTCCAACTTCTTCGTCTGTTGAGCATCCTGCACTTCCTTTTCTGGACTACCTTCATCATCCACTATGACACCTTCTGTTGTCAAGCTCTCATCAGAAATATCTGGAGTGAGGTCATCATCTATATCTGCAATCACATCCAGATCTGGCTCCTCATCCAGGGTCTCACTGGCAGGAACCATACATGGAATCGTGGACTTCCGTTTGCTTGCCATGGTGAAGGATTTTTCTTCCAGAAAACCTATGCTAAAGAAGTTTTATCTACTTCTTCGAGATCTTCTTGCTTTGCTTATCTCCCCAAATGTCAGCAGCTCTACCACACTGCATTCAAGGGAGCTTCATCTGCAAAATAAAAGTTATCAAAATGTTACTTCAGAACTATAACCATGTATGTTGTTAAGAAAACTCACCTCGCTTTTAAATTTAAAACTATCACTACAGCACAATATTTGGAGAAGAGTAATATAAATTTGGATGCGATCTAATTTTAGTTGGATTACTATACGAAGACAACAGGCCAGGCAGGGTATTTACCCACAGAGAGTGAGGGAACTTTGATAGAGCAGTTGTCAATTTGATTCTTTGTCTGCCAAAAATCTTACTTGAAGTCTGATATACTGCATTTTTGTAACCTCAGAATCAGTTAGGAGAAATATTTAATTTAATATTCAATGCTGAGACAATCTACCATCTTGGTATAAAGCTTCCAGAGCTCCAATAAGTTGGTAACAATTTCAGGCAATAGGCCATTGGTACATCTAGCCTATCCATCCAACATCTCAAAAGATTTCGTTAACACTTCTCATCATCTAATAACCCTGTCATGGAGGATAGAGCCTGGTCTCTGCATTGTTTTCAACAACTCAAAAACACTTTGCTTTATATGCTGTTCAACACAGAGGAGTTCTGTGCTAAGGATGAAAGATCAGCAATCGTGCATTTATAACTTTAAAGCCAAAAATGCAAATCAATTTATAATAGAGGGGATTGACAAGTTAATTAGGGGCAAATCTGCCATCTTTTAGAGGGATCCAAAATATGAGAATACAGTCTTAAAATATAGAGGTAAGGCAGTTAGACGTGAAACCAGAAGATATTGTGAGAGTGAGAATGCAATGCCCCAGAGGCTATAGATTAGAATTGATTGAAATATTTAAAAGGGAGATGCTTGAGATGTAAGAATCTGAAGGAATGTGGAAAACAAGGCAGGGAAATGGGATTAAAATAACTGCTAAGATCTAATAAATAGTGGAACAGGCTCAGCGGGCCAAACAGCCTGCTCCTATCCCTCATTCTGACCTTTATTGAAGCAAAAGAATGAATAGCAGCTCAAAAATCCCTCAGATACAGTGTATTGATGTCTTCATCATATTTCTCCTTCAACAGTTCAGGGAAATAATGGCTGGCTCTTGTGATTCTTTAACATAGAGATCAATTTAATTCCATGATAGCCTTTTATAACATTTCAGTTCAGCAAAGGGCTTCTCAATTCACCAATAATACAAAAATGTCAGATGTATAAGAATCTAAAAAGGCAATGGAAGGGAGGACATTATGCAAAGCAGAAATCTGGCAAAATGTGCAAATGTAGAATTCTGGCACAACAAGTGCTTTTACCCATCTAATCTTCAGTTGGAAGCACATCCAGTGCCAGAAGTAACATCTACTCTTTTTTGACCCAGAGTGGAAAAGTCATAGGTAGTAACAGCACAGGGAGGTTTAACTAATCTTAAGCCAACAACATTTTGGCAAACTGACATAACATAACAAAATTACAACATGGATCAGTTCCTAATGGGCATGGACTCATCACAAAACTGCCTTCAATTTGGACCGCTGAGGCCCCACAGGAAGACTGGTGCTGAGATGTGTCACAATCATCGGTGAATATTGGGGAACATTACTGGGGAACATTAGAGGGAGCTTCATTCAGTATCCTGCTGTGCTACACAACAGCCTATTGGATGATGACGCGTTGAAATTAGACATCATTCCAAATCCCAGCCCTAAAACAAAATTTATAATAATTAATTTAATTTAAAACCAGTTCCAGAATTGGGTCAGGTGACATTGTTTGTAGCTGCACATCACCACAGGTCAGTCTGGTGCAGTGGTAGCACTCTCGCCTCAGAACCTGGTTTGTGGTTTCAAGCCCAATATTGGGATTTGGAACTCAGTCCAGACTACACACTCCAGTGCAGTGATGGGGGTGTTCTACAATGTTGAAGGTGCCGACCTTCAGATGAGCTGTTAAACTGAAGCCTGCCTTCCTGCCTGTTCAAATGCATGTTGAAGATCCCTCGACACTTTTGGAAACGAGAAGAGAGTTTGTCCCAGTGTCATGGTCAACAAACTCCCAAATAAAATAGGTCATTTATTTCATGGCCATTTGTGTGACTTTGCTGTGTGCAAATTGACTACTTTTGCCCATAAAGTACACAGTCACTACAATTTACAACAAAACCTGTGAAGTGCTTCGAGAAATGTGAAAGACACTATATCAAATGTAAGGATTATATCTCTCCAGGTTTGCTCACTACATCATCATTCAATGTGACTTGCAACACGTTGTAAAGAATAGTGCTACAATGTTACTAAAATAATATTTTTCACTGAACATATTAAATCATTTCGGACTCAAAGAACTCAGTATAATCATGGACTGTGTTGTCAAATAGAATTTTCACAATAAATAAATTACACCTTTGATATGGATGGCTAATAGCACACTGTACCAGTGTGTACTAATATACTAGTTTGAATTCCAAATTCATCACTTTCAAACTTGCAGTGCTATACATCTGATAATAATCCTCACATTTGATATAGCACAAGATCACATTGTTAAGGATTTTACTGTTAAGTGTAGTGACTGTGTTTTGAAGGAGAATTATCTGAAACTGTGAAAAAAAATCCGACTTTGTATCTCCCTGTTGCCCCCTTTATATTTTTACAGCAGCTATATCACATTGCATTCTGAGGAACTCTACCTACAAATATCGATTTTTTTAAAAAGTTCCTTCAGAGCTACAAGCATATATTCAGCAAAACCTTCAAGATTGAACGAGGACTAATTTGATGACCATGTAAGAGTACTCTAATATAGGTGCAGTTTGGCTGATGCTTGAGATTCTTATGAGCATGTGAGCCAAAAATGGAATTAACTGCAATACAGAGCATCGATTTAGCTAAAGTAAAACAATTGCACAATAGTGTTCAAATGATTTTAAAGAAATCCTATCAACATTTTTAAATAGTTACACAATTTCTCCAAGGTCAAGGGAGGATAGAATTATTGGGGCTCAAAAGACTATTTGTTTCCTGTTCCAACGTACTCTGCAAAAGCAACGCGACTGTTCGACGCCTCAGATGTTTTGTTTAGCAATATTTTTTATTGGCTAGGGAGCAAAAACTATTAGAGGGCAAACATTTATAGAGTACGTTTCACTCATTAAAAACTTCTGCTAGAAAAAACTCTTCCGGCACTACAATATAGTATTAATGTTTCACAGACACTGTTCTATATGCACTTCTGAGAAATGTCGCAACTTCAATTCCAGCTGCTATGAACTTTAGGATTTTTAAAAGCTTGGGAGTGGCAATAAGTAAAACAACTGTGCCACGGCCTCTGTAATGCCTCCTGCTTTAAATTAAATTCTTAAAACTGCCAGATAAACTAAATAAACACATGGAAACTGTAAAACGAAAGTATATTCAGATTCTGGAGAGCAAATTTGACAAATAATAATAATAATCCTTGCATTTGGTATAGCGCTTTTCAAGTCAGGAGGACGTCCCAAAGCGCTTCACAGAACACACTGTAAAGTGAATTGACTGTATATTTGTGGGCGAACGCGGCAGCCAATTGCGCACAGCAATGTCCCACAAACAGTCATAGATTGAAAATGACCAATTTATTATTGTTTTGGAGGGATTATTATTAGGCTCTGTGTGGAGTAAGGAAACTTGCCCAAGGTTTCGCCCTCTGCCTGGAATTGAACTCGGGTCTCTCGCTTGCAAAGCGAGTGCTCTAACTACTGAGCTACAGGACTCCACAGGACAAGCATTGTTATTAAAGTACAATTAATATTCTGCTCAATTGGAGACGTTTCAAAGGATTTACTGAACTAAAGTGCAGTAATAACAAAAAGGATATACACCAATAATATTAGGCAAAAAATATAAACAATACATTATCTGATCTCAGGTAATTATTTTGTGTACCTGATTGTCCTAACCCTGGAATGCAGGAATTCATTTCCTTAAAACATTCACTTTGTTTTTCCTCAGAAGGGTAATCGGATACATTTTTGACTATGTTTTTTCATTGTTTACAATGCAGTACAAGATGTAAATAAACCAAGCTTAATGTTACATTTGTGTCTATTAGTTTGCCACATTTGAAGAAAAAGAGTCTGATATCAAAGGTTAAGGAACTCCCGTTTACAGTACATGACACACAAGGATGTAGTACGAGTGTAGAGATTCCTGAAACTACCGGCACAATGTGTGACAGAAGAACAGGATCTTAGGCATATACATATAAAGGATTGGAGCACAAGCCAAAGGAAGTGAATTTACACAAAGCACTGATCTGGCCACACCTGAAACACTACCTACAATTCTTGTCACTGCATGAAAGGAAGGAAACCTGGACTTTGAAAAAGGATACAGCAAAAGGCAACCAGATTAATTGCTGAATTAGATGCCTCAATTACGATGCGAATTTATGGAGGCTGGAAATGTTACCTAAAAAGAGGGCTCAAGTCAGATCTTATTGAATATAAGATCCTAAAGAGCAATATGCTAAGTGTACTGAAACTGAATCCTAGTAACATTTTTGGCAAGGTCAAACAATCAAAAATAAGACTTAAGATCACAATGGGAAAAGGTAATTCAGATTTAAGTTTTCTTGTATATTAATAATAATCCTTGCATTTGATATAGCGCCTTATCACATCGCTGAGACACCTCAAAGAATATACTGTAAAGTGAATTGACTTGTGTATTTTGTGGGCAAAACGCGGCAGCCCTCTTATGACAATGTGGACAAGACAGTAGCCATAGTCTGGCTCCCGTCAATGTCTTCACTCCTGCGGATCTAAACTCCTCAACCCCCCTGGGCTCTCCCTCAGATTCACCGAACCAGTGCACAATCTAGGTATCCGGTTCTACCCCCAGCTGTCCTTCCTCCCCCATATACGATCCCTGACCAGGACCGCCTTCTTCCAGCTCCGCCACATTGCCTGCCTCCGACCGTACCTCAAATGCAGGCGAAACCCTCTTGCGTGCATTTGTCGCCTCGCGCCCGGATTACTCAAACGCACTACTCACTG